AAAATCAGCAGAGTTGAAGAGATAATCCTGGAATCCTATCTTGCATCCTCTTCTCACATTATTAGACTATTCAAACATGTTAGAGAGGGCAACAGTCAATGAAGATTCTGTACAATCTAATCTTCATGTGGCTGTCTTATCATTAAACAACATGAATGTGATAAACTAGGAGAAAAATAATAATCCAGTGCAATGAAAAAATATTTGGAGCTCAATCTCTCAACTAGAACTATTTTCAGAGGCTGAGTACAATGCAGTATTAAGTGAAAGATACAGTCTGCATTTATAATAAGGTATGTGGAAACTATGGTGTAATAGTTTAATGGCTGATGTAACAGAGCTTTTTGTCAGGGGGAGGACGTAGCTATTAATGAGCAACTGGTACTCAACTACCATCAATGGCTAGTAATAATCAACAATTGTATGTTGCCTAATTTTTAAAGAATCAATAATTACCCATTGGTTGAATATATCTATTTCACTGCCATGACAAATACACATTCAAGTCCTAATTTTTGTAGACTTTAAGCTTAATTATTTTTAGAACATAAATATTAGAAAAAAGATTTATAACTTTCATTATTCTACACACACTTACAGAGTAGTGTTGACCTCATGCCTTCAGAATATTCAGGTCATTCATCACATGTGGCTACTACAGTGTTTACTTAGTTGGGGGAAGGCATAATAGTTAATAAAATTCTAATAATTTTCCAGATGATTTAAATTTTGCTTAAATTCTGGAACCAGGAAGAAAAAAAAAGTCAATATCCCAGAGCCCAAACCTGATGTCTTTGTTTACTCAGGCAAAACTCCTATTATAAGATCAGCCCCACAATAGTGCCCCTCACTATTGTTCTTTTCATCCTGCTAAAGATTTGGCTCAGGATCAGTGCACAGCTCTAGGCTGTTCCATCAAGGAGCACACAAATGAGAAAACAACAGCTAGCAAATACTCTGAGAAAAATCAATACTAAAGTCTTTCAGGGGCTTTCATATTTTCTGCCCTGTTCAGATAAATCGTAACTTAATTTAAGAAAAAATGCTTTCTGAAAACTGCAAATAGGATGGCTTTCAAGGCATTTTTAATGCAATACATCATGGATATTATAAAAAGAGGTAACCTTTGTGGGTTAACTCTGTCTGTTATGCTGCTTTCCCATTCACTTTGGCAGCAGCACTGTTCACAATATGGCACCAATAAAATATAGAACTACAATCAGAGACAGCAATTTCAATCAAAGTTTCCTGGGGTCTCCTCATAAATCCAGCACCTTTGGAATGTGCTCGTTAAAATGACTTAGTTTTTTGCAGTTTGATAAAATTTTTATTGCTTAAGTACAGAGTTCAAATGTAGCTCACAGACTCCCTTTCCCTATGTTCCCAATGAATGCACCTAATAATTATCTGCAGCAGTTGAAACTTATTACTCTTACCATGTTATTCTGGAAACAAATGGAAGCAAGCTGCTACTTGCTTCTGTCAGTTATGCCAAAGTGATTTTAAAATAAGGCTTCTCATCATTTGTGGCATATCCCTACGTTAGCTGGCAAAACTTATACATAGGGAGAAGTTATAATAAAATCCTATTGTAACCTCAAGCAGCAATGAGGCCATATATTTGTTTAGACAAGTATAGTTCCGGTTTAAGTTAAAACATTTGGAGGTTTCAAGTTCTACAACTAAACTATAGGTATTGTAATCATATGGGTCTTTCATATACATAGCACCTTTAATACAAATAGACCTTAAAGAGATTTGTTTACTTTGGAACAAACTATACAGAAATTGCCAAATTTAGCAGTACTTAATAAAAACAAAGCAAAATTCCCATTGATCTGCTTAATAAAGGACTGCAGAATCTGGCCCTCAGGTATTAGTTTGCTCACATCCAAAATGAAATGCTGCCACTATGTAACAAGCTTACAGCAACACTCCTCAACAGTTTGGACGTACAGTACCTACCCAACCGTAATTAAAGAGGATGTTGTGATAGACAGAACATAGTAACTGAAGTAGAATTTGGCCAGAACACCAGGCTTGATGTCCCAGTCTGGTATTTCAGAGGTATTCTAAATCCCAAAATCTTGAACCTGCCTGTCACAGCTTGCCCAGAGCAAGGCAGTTCATGCAAGGAGCTCCTTCCTAGTCCTTCAACAGTTAATTAAAGTTCGACTCAAATATTGGCCACCTGAATCTTTGAACCTCAGAACAAAATAACCAGTTTGTCACATTGCTTCAGGTGAAGGTACAGAGGATGGCTAAGCCCTGATCAGGACCTGGGGTTCTGGATTAGGACCAAGGGATCTCCCCTCCTGTCCAGCTTCACCCAGCACTCCCCCACAGAAGAAGCAGGCAAGCCTTCTTATCGCTCTTGTTGGGTCCTGATTGGCTACTGCCCCTTCCCAGCCCTTCTAGACTCTGGAGGACCATGTCTTATTGCTTCTGTCAATACCACAGACTGAATGTTAGACAGTGCTTGGAGATCTGAACTCATGGTCCCTCTGACACTTTTTTTTCAGGTGGGGTGTGTCAGGGTGGCCACACCCCAAGCAGGAGACGGAGAAGGCCAGACACATTACATCACACTGCCCTTATGATTTTGGACCCAGAACAATGAAGGGCTTGTTTTTCTAGATCTAGTTTAGTTATTGGCCCACCATGGAGGAAGTCTTGCAAAGACAGCTGACTTTGAGAAGTTTCTTTGTCATTTTGGGCCAAACAGAACAGTTTGAGAGATTTTAGCACTTTCAAACCCAAGTGCTCCCTGTTTTAACCTTGAATTGGAATGCCAAACCTAATCCTAAATTGAATCCTAAATCAAACCCTAACGCCATGTCTCATTTCTTATAAGAAATATCAGTGCCAACCTATGCAGAAAAACAAACTCTGTAATATTTGGTTTGCTGTTAACCCCAACTGACAGCTCTCATACAAAGGCAGAACAAAGCATTATGCTTGACAGAATTATTTATTTCAGTTTTTAAGCTGTGCCCAGCCAGAGATTTGGGCACTTGTACATTGTTTCATGAAACATACAAAGTTTAATCAATTACCAAAATATAAAATCCCTCCCTGTTCCACTCAAGCTGAGACTCCACTATCACCCACTATTACCCAATCAGTTCACTTTCCCACAAAAAGCCCAGGAGAAAAGATTTGCTTTGCAATATGAATTAAAGGTCAACAAATCTAGCCCCTGCAGGACCCATGCCAATGGTGACATCCAGAGTAGAGGACTTTTCTTAAAAATAAAAGATGCCCCACCAGCAGCCCTCCCCCACTCAAAGGTACTCAGGAATCAAACCATATTGCACACGTTAAATTGGACTCAGAAATCAACTGGAAGCCGTGACAGATCATGCAACACTCTGAATGAGAAACCCCATTCAACAGGTGGGTAGTTTTATTCTTCACTATCTGAAGTTTCAGTGGTTGTGGTAAAGGATAGCCCCATATACAGCATATTACAATAATCCAATCTGGACGTCACAAAACACATATTTCTGTGGTTTGCACCCTGGCCAAAAACTCTTTATAGTTCAAGATTCTTTATAGCTCAACTGATCTAACTTGGACTCTGACTTCCACCACAGGCGCTCTAACCATCTTTTTAAAAAATGATTCTCTACAAACAATATACCAGTATTAACAAGGATGTCATTTAAATTTTCAATTCCAACTGGGATTTATATATACAAAATTCAAGGGATTTCCTGAAACTGCATTCTTATCAATTTGTCCCTTCAACAGAAGTCACAATTTTCTCCCAACAGTTAGTGTCTGAACATATCAGGCACAAAAGCACTACCAAAAATAATAATAATAAAAAAAAATTGGGGAAGTTCTTTCATCTCTAAATGGATGCGGGAGAGAAATCTTATTTATATAAACAGTGATGCTGGTGAGAAAAACAGACCAACACCTTTAATTCAAATAAAGATTTAATATTAACATTATGAAGAGCTGCTATTAACTTTTCACAAGTATATCATTGTTATAGACAGTTATTAACTTGTTGAAAAGTACTCAACAATTGCCCTAAACCTACCTGAGAAAATTACCTCTAGCTGGTTAATGTCTATGAGTAATGACCAACTTCTAGCAATTATTGCATAATTATACAATTCACATACAGAAATGAGCATGTAGCTACATATTCAGTGCCAGGCAGTGAGGAAATATTTTTACATGTGGCATTTCTTTCCACAGTCAATATCTAGAACATATTACTGATATTAGAAACCACTGACAACAACTGCTTTTATGTTGTACAAATAAATTATTCAGTGTCCATTAAATAGCAAATAGAGGAGATTACTGGTCAATTATAAATCTTTAGGATCATTCCAATTGTTAATTATTATTAACCACTGAGGAAATGGTCAATGTTGCATCTCAGTTTCTTTTCCCACTATTGTAGAAATGATGGGGCAGCTATTAAGTTTAGCAAAGGGATGTTTCTTTTAAAAACATGAAAAACACAAATTTTACTTTATGAAAGTAAAAAATAATGGTTCCTTCAAAATTAGTCTTTACTGCAGTTAATCATTGGTTTTGTTAAACTGTTAAACATTAACCTGTCAGCTAACAGATCCAGCCGTTTATTACTCCAAGAGATTTACACAGCAAGCAGCTCTTATAGGGCAACAAGCCAAACAAAATACAGTAAAGTATACAGAAGAAAACTGTTTCTTCAACCTCTAAACCAGCCTGTGAAAATCCCACGTAAATGAAAGACAGTGAATTAGGGTCATTGCATGATTTTCCATGAGAAAAGGGTTAGACTCCTTGGGCTAGAGGACCAATGTGGGCCTAAAGGAAAAACCTCCTTGCAAATCACACTCTTTTCTTGGGTTGTTTGTTTAACTACAATTATTTCAGGCAGGTCCATAATGAATTAGGGATATACAGCCCTTATTGGGGGGAGGGATAGCTCAGTGGTTTGAGCATTAGCCTGCTAAACCCAGGGTTGTGAGCTCAATCCTTGAGGGGGCCATGCTAGTGAAGGCAGAGGGCTGGACTCAATGACCTTTTGGGGTCCCTTCCAGCTCTATGAGATAGGTATATCTCCTTATATTATATTATTGTGCCTCTATTTTGGAAAGCCACAACAACTTTTCTACAGAGCCAAAGGAAAATGAGTAAGTCTTGTTCATTATATTAGTGGTCCCATGTGATGGGAGCTCAGGATAGCATCTTTTTGGTAGACTCAACACTATACTCCTGGTATAGAGTTGGTTGAAATTCAGAATTCCTGTTTCACAGGAAATTCCAAACACTCTAAAAAAAATCCATTCCAATTTATAAATTTCCTGTTGAATAGGAATTCCAGAAAAAAATATTTTGAAAAATTGAAAATTTTGTTTTGAATTTGACCGTTTTTTATTTTTATATTTTAATGTAATTTATATTATTTTGAATGTATATTATTCTTCAATTCGTTAACAATTGCTACTCCAATTAGCTGAGTAAAATATTTTGCTGTTGTTATGAAACTGTTAGACCTGTTGAACAAGAAAATAAGATAAGCACTCAATATTAATTGAAGTAGCAGCTATTTTTAATATCCTTGTGTTAGCCTGGAATTATTTTTCTAGGATATTAAAAGCAGCTGCTACTCTCATTAATACTGATCAAAGCATCAAACTATTTCATTATAACATCAAAGAAGAGATACTTTGAATAAGAAAATAAGATAGTATAGTAGAGCATTTTAATTAGAGTAGCAGATGTTTTAATAATTTTTAAAATGAAATATAAAAATAAAGTTTATTAAAATATAAAATAAAATAAATACAGTTATATTATATACCTTTAAAGCATTACACACAAATTTAAATTTCATTTAAAATAAAAAGCCAGGTGAGCCAGGCAGCCCAGGGAGCTGGGCAGCGGACTCCCTGCCTCTCAGGGCAACCCCCTGGTGAGCAGCCAGGAGCCTGGAAGCCCTGGCTTGGCAGCAGCCTGCCAGCTGGTCTGCTGAGGAACTGGGATCCTGGGGTAGCATCAGAAACCTGCCTAGTTCCGGTTAGAATTTCAACAAATTCAATAAGTTCTTGTGGAATGTTTCAATTCTGTTGAATCAGCATTTTCTGGTGGAAAACTGTTCCATCAGCAAACTTCCAAACAGCTCTACTCTGTTTCACTCTTCTAGTAAATACACACCAAACACTAGCCGGGACAATCAGGCTTGTAATCAGTAAAATGAGAATTGGTTTTAAATACCAATAAGGAATACTGACATACAGTGCGGCAGCTTCTGTTTAGGAGATTGAGAATGGAAATACAGTAAGGAGATGTCTATTCAAGAACCTTCCAGTGACTTACTGTGTGACCCTCATCATATTACTTCTTCACCTCTCAGTACTTCAGTTACCACATCTGTACAATAGAGATGGTAATACTTGCCAACTACAGCAAATTGCTGAAATCTACAAATGAAAAGTGCTATAGAATTGTGAAGTATTGTCTTATTAATATTGATAGACTTATCAAAATTTTTCACAGATCACAACTGCCAGCAGTTGAAAACTATAACTAGGAAAATTACAGAAACAGTTCTTTTAAGTTGTCTGATATCTTTCGGACAATGAGAGCTTCTTGGATGGAGAAGTCGAATAAAAGTGTACATATTCAGCATTAATTGACAACGTTATTTGCTGCTTATTTAACCTTTTAAGAGTAGTAACTGTTTTTAAAAGTTTACCCATTTCCTTGGATTTGTGAAATTAAATGCTTGGGCTTTTCCTGTATACTATGTAGCTTTACTGCCAAGAAATTCAATAAGACTACTGACAAACCGTACTTAGTAAATCTGGACAGGGAGAAACTTTTGTAACAGTGTAATGCTATCACATACCAGTGCAGTAAAGGTCATTTTATGCAAGGTATTAAGTGCCTCCTGGCAGCTGCTGAGTGCCCTCAACTCCCACTGATGTCACTAGAAGATAGTGGTGTTTGGCACCTATCAGGAGGTGCTGAGCACCTTGCAGAATCAGGTCCCAGTTTAGTAACATTTCCATCTTAAAAAAAAAATCATTTTCTTGTCCTTCTGCATATTGTCTCCAGTTAAGCTATACTCCTTAGATTTCCAGGTCCTGCCAAGAGATCATTATTAACACATGTGTCAAAGTCAGGCTTTGAGATGCATTGGAGAAGAAAACGTACAAACTTAAAATCTGAAGTGATCTTCCCATTTTTAAAAAGTACAACGATAAAATGGTTGGTATGGTCATGAAAATGGCTGATATTTGGAAGTTTTCACCTCTACTTTTAAATCCTTTAATGATTTTTAATTCTAAGCAGAGCCTTTCTTTTATACAGCTCACATTTTTAAAAAAAGTAGTAATATTCTCGCACAATGATTGGTTAAAACCAACAGAATGTGTGCTAACAGTCTATATTACACTAAAAAACAGGTTAAAAGAATAAAGGGTCTGTTTTCAACCAAGGAACTCTTTTGTATTCTAACCCATACCTTGGTTTGGCCTTTGTAGTGGTTTTAAAACATGGGATGATCTTACTTATCCTATGTGCTGCACTCTGTGTAGGCACCATTGGGTAAAAGAAGAATCCAGAGGCAGCTTTTAATTATAAAGAAATGCAAGACCTTTTTCTTTATGGTTAACTCAAATATGGCTGAATATAAAGGGCCCAGTTTTCTCATCCACTTCCACAAGTAGGTTTACATTAACGCAGAGATTGTTTCACGCGTTATGAGAGTGCATGAACACTTCCGCTTTGCCTCATGCTTGTGGTTTGCTTATTTAAATGGGTGTGTTTGTAACAACCCAAAATAGAGTGTTAATTTACTGGACATATAAGTATACGGCAGGGGTGGCCAAACTTACTGACCCTCTGAGCCGCATATGCTAATCTTCAGAAGTTCGAGAGCCGGGGTGCGCCTGCTAGGGCTTGGGGCTTCAGCTGAAGCGGCGAGACCCCCCGACCCCACTGGGCAGAAGCCCCTAGCTCACACCCCGCCACAGGGCAGAAGCCCCAAGCTCCCCCTCCCCAATCTGATAGGTGGAGAATGTGGGGTTCTCCACGAGCCACACAAACTGTAAAAGAGCTGTACGTGGTTCGTGAGTTGCAGTTTGGCCACCCCTGCTATATGGTATATGTATACCATCCATATCATATATACAACTGGGGTGACATTTAGAAACATACTTTCATAGATAAATCAGCTTTGTTAGGTAATCCAGAAAAAAGTTCCTTATAAACATGGGCAAATGGGATACTTGGACAAATGGGATACTTTTATTAGCAGGGTGTACGTAGGGGGCGGGGGAGAGAGAACAACTCCATTACAATGTAAATGTTATATAATAAGATGAGGACAGTTTAGGACAGGGGTCGGCAGCGTTTGGCACGCGGCTTGCCAGGGTAAGCACCCTAGCGGGCCAGGCCAGTTTATTTACCTGCTGACGCGGCAGGTTCGGATGATCACAGCCCCCACTGGCCGCGGTTCGCCGTCTCTGGCCAATGGGGGAGGCGGGAAGCGGTGCGGGCAAGGAATGTACTGGCCGCAGCTTCCCGCCGCCCCCATTGGCCCGGGACGGCGAACCGCAGCCAGTGGGGTCCGCGATTGGCCGAACCTGCCGCGTCAGCAGGTAAATAAACTGGCCCGGCCTGCTAGGGTGCTTACCCTGGCGAGCCGCGTGCTGAACGTTGCCGACCCCGGGTTTAGGATTTTACATGAAGCGAGAAAATACAAATAAAAATACCAGCGGCTGTCTATGCACTATGGTCCTGATCCAAAGCCCACTAAGTCAATGTGAGTCTTTTTACATTTCAAAGGGTACAGCAAAGCCCATAGTTTCAGTTTCTAATTATGAACTTGCAATGGATCATCAGCATCTAAAAATCACATAGATTAGCTGTCTGTATTCTATCATTTGTGCCTGCAAGACTGGATGCCATTTTTGAAAAAAGTAGCCCTCAAATTAGATGCTGAAAGTTATCCAGCCTTAGTCAGAATTACCGTATGTACTTTAAACACACACACACACACACACACACACACACACACACACACACACACCTTTTCTGTTTTCAACAGAGGACAAAGAGGCAAAAGGTATTTTAAACCATGAAAAACTGATAATTTTATTTTCATTGCTCTAGAACTATACATTTTACATAATTCACATTATGCTTGAATAGATTTTTTTAATAGAAGAGCCTGTATAAAGTGACATAAAACAAGTATTTACAATGGAAATCCTATCAGACACCCCTCCTCTTAAGTACAACAGTGCTGTTGAGTTCCAAGACAATGTAACAGTACAGCAGGCCTGGGCAAGAATTTATACAGTTCCCTGTAAACATAAGAATACCTTTATATAAAGCCAAGCCAGCATGTTCTTTGCAAAGAAAGGACAGTAGTAAAATCAGCATGAAGCAGAGCAAGTCCATATTTGACAAATCACTCTACTAAAGACAGTGATGTCAACTATAATAAAACATTTTACAGACTAGAAATATGCACCTGTGGGAACCTGGGATAGAGATTTGACAGATTTTGTTTTCTTGGCTCTTTATCAGCAAGTTAATTATAGCAACTTTTCAATCCACTTACAAGTACTATACATAGGGCCAGCTGCAGTAAACATAGGTATATTTTGCTTGGGTAAAGAAAGGCAGAAGTGACAGTAGTGCTTACACATAAAAAGATAATGTTAATTACTATCATATATTCAGAAACCAGTGGCAAATCTAGACTAGCAGGCAGGTTTGCAGGTGTGTATGCTCACACAGTAAAACGTAAAAAAGCTTCAGGGCATTAAAAGATTTAGACCAATTGCCAAATCATATTGTGCTACCTCCCCACTACTCACCTTCACAGCTGTAACTGTACACAGCTACTGTTGACCTTTCAACCAGATTCTCATCATGGTGCCAGCTCACTGCCATATTCCCCATTCCAAAATAAGGCTCTTGTTTCAAGTACGGCATTTGTAGAGGATCCATATAATTCAATAAAGTCAAGTTATAAGATGTTCTATACTTCAGACTGGTGCAGTCATTCCTTGGTGTATAAAGACTGCTTTGATCTTCTAAGAGGGACCCCTTAATAAAATTAGAAAAATCCTGTTCTCTATCTGTGACAGCAGTATCTTCAGTTTCTTTGGTCCCA